ACGCAGCCTCTACCCGGTCGAAATCCTGCTTGGTTCTCACGAGTCAAGACTTCGCGTGCCGCCATGAGACGACGAAGAATCAATGACGCCAGAAGCCTTGTCACAACAGGCGTCAAACTAACGCCTCTGTGGTTGCTACATCCACTGCGAGTACCCTTTTTGAAAATGGGTACTACTATCGATTCACCCCAGTTGTCTGCGATGATCTTCTCCCAAACACACCCAAATAGGCTAGACAGGCACTGGCTGAGGAATCCACCGCCATCCCTGAAAAGAGCAGGTGGAAGGTCGTCAGGACCAGCAGCGCGATGACGCTTGAGTAGAGAAATGCACTCGGACGCTTCTGGGTCACCAGACACACGGATGGGGAAATGTGAAAGAGCTGAGTTCGTCCTTGGCGTTCTGAGGTGCACAACCACGACATTGATCACAGAAGCCATGGGTGTATACTCCGAAGAGCATGATACCAAAATAATGTATTCTGATAAAGGAGCAAAGAAGTTAACGCTGAATGCCCACAATCTATCCGGGATGGTTTTCACACCAATCCAGCAAGCGAAAATGCCTGTGGACAGCATATTGAATGGTGGCACAAAGGAGCCTATCAGGATAGTGTGCGCTTGACAACTCCGGTCAATTTTTTTTTCGGAAAACAAACCACATTGCAAGATTACTCTCACCGAAGTGCTGCGTCCCTCGTTCACTAAAAATTGTGACATTGCAAGCCGGATTTTGTCCTATACATCTAATCGGCTTTAAGGGGTGAGGATTCTAATTCAACCATATGGATCCATTAGCAACTAGCTTACTTTCGCACTCATGTGTTCACCGAATGTGTGTCCGAACCGTGAGAAAGGTGGACTTTACCAGGCCACGGTCAAAACACAGAGGGATCAAGAAATGTAGGACTCAATATTCAGAAACCTTTTTTTTCGTGTTTGGTTGGTACCTTTTGGGGCTAGCAATATGGAAATAAAGCGCCTTGCGTGGTCACGATAGGCCCTAAAACCGCGCACGTCAAGTGCCAAAATGCTGACCGTGACCGTCCGAAAATCATCCGACAAGGTCAAAATACGGTAAAATCATGTAGATAGCCCAACCCTTAAAAAAGCACCTGTTACGCGCATCAGAATCAGGAGTGGGACATTTATGACTAGTTTCTCGGAGGTTTCGGGTAAGGTTCCATAAAAAGCCTTGCTGCTCACTAGCTTGTGCGCCAGGCTTTTGGGTCAAGAGCAGTTTTACATTCCCCCATTACATTGTGGGTCCGAATTTCATGTCAAAAGCCCAAGGTGGAATGCTTCAAGCAAAACCCCTTCGTCTGAATTGGCAACCGATAAGTACCATTCACCCTTGCAGATCTTTGTTCACTGCACCTCAAGCAAATACCGTTCTTTACCATTCCACTGGCCCACTGCGGCTAATCGACTTCCCAGCCCTCAAAGCAATCTTCCGTGTCTAAGTTACCACCCAGTATAATAAGCCACATCAAACCTACTAAACTCAAAAGATCTGATCCACATTGGAGCTCTGCCAAATTGGCAGACAAGCATCCTACGCTGAAACTTTGCTTCCCACTTCTGTCGATTTGCAGTGTCTCCGAAAAGGACACACAAGACCTCACCTAGGCGATGCACCTCAAGCAACTTAGGACAAAAGAACTCTTCGGGTTCTGGTGACCTGACAAAACAGCTCGTGATATCTGTGGCGTAAAAGTTGCATTCAGCCCTAGAGCTGATGGAACTTTAGTGGACTAGATTCAAACAGACAGCCGTCTTTCCGCTACAAAGTTGTCTAGTTCAATTGAGATCAATGCAGGTTGATGCGGTAAACAGTGTCTGAATTCTCAGACAGACTGCAGTGCTGAAGATGGTTTTTATCGAGATCTGTCACGACAATTTTAATCAGCAAGATCAATAGATATCGCCATCATGACAGGTGAGTTTAATTCGTGCGGGTTGGACGACTGAGCTTGATTAAGCAGTTAGGTGGTAGCTTTGGAGTCAATACTAAGCGTACGGATAATGGGAAGCGACTTATTCATTTGTGTGCTGAACATCGTCTGTTCTCGGCTAGTATGAACTTTCAGCACAAGTACTCACAGAGTTACTTGGAGGCCATCAACCCCAAGCTAATCATGGATTCACAGTGATAATGTGACCGTCAGTTACCGAAGACAGCCCTACTGAAAGACTGCGACTTGACTCCGATCATGACAATGTGCATGATAGGTTATCAATTTGGTCTCTTCCAGCACTAAGCATGTTGAAGCAGACCGATTCCACTCATCTTCGAGCAGCTTCAGTAGCTCAACTGTATCGAGCTGATCTGGCAGGAAAGCTACTGGAGACGCACAATCATGCCGATGACGATAATGGGTTAAGAGATGAATGGAAGAGGGATTGAAATTTATTCGCGCTCAACCCATATGATCCGAGCAAATGAACAGTAAATTTCGTGGAGATCAGCAGATTCTCTTACTGCCAGAAAAACCATGACAGCAACTAGCTACCACGATCACCCACGCAGATCTCCAAAGCGTCGAATAATCAAAAGACTGAAGGACGACACGGAACACCGGTGGATTGCGAAGGCTCAGGAGATTGCAGGACAAAAAGGTATTCCGTTTCAGTTGATTCAATCAGCTGGCCGGACGGATAGGTGTCAGCAGAATAATTCGCGAAAAAGTCAGACCAGCGGTTCACTCACGGAACCATCGTCTTGCGTGATAAACTGGCTCCTTTTAACACAATCTCTGGAAGAACCCAATGAACCTAAATAGAGCATCTACACCAACACATCAAAATCAACAGAAATCCAGCGCTGGAAGAATCAACGACCCTAAATAGAGCATCCAAAACAAAACATCAAAATCAACAGAAATCCAGCGAGATATAATTCCTACTGTAGTTGTCAAAAATGAAGCTCTGGTGAGCTAAAGATGACTTAGAACTAAAGCAGAATACTTGTGGAATGCAACACCCCCAAAGTGGTTCTAGTCGACGAAGAGAAAGTAAGAATGTCATGCGAGAACCATCGTGGCATCAGCCTGCTGGCTGTAGTATTCAAGGTTTATCAATTACCGAGAGAGACCGACTAGTCAGAATAGAGCTCAGTCACAACCTGGCCTGGGATCTATTAACAGTATCCTTATTTCGGGACGGCTTCTCGAACAGAAACATCCTTTCAAATGTCCTAAGTCGGTCGTCTTTCTTAATCTGAAGTCTACCGTTGACTCTGTCGATAGTCAGAAACTAAGGTGACGCCTGGTGTTGCTTCCAAATGTTAACCTCTTATAACGTTGCTGTATGCAGACTCGTGTAGTCGCATATAACAAGTCGTCGCCTGATTTCACCACATACACTGAGGTGAGATAAGGCCACCATCTGTCATCACACCTATCAAATTCGTTATTGACGAGCGGCTTGAAACTCCTCTACCTGCTTCGGAAACCAAGAGGATCTAGATGATCCCATGGTGTTCACTCACAGACACTTGACATACAGACGGCACTCCTCCTTTTGGCTAAGATCTTTTAGAGGTGCAAGTCATTTCAAATAATCCAAATAGTCTTTGTATGCAGTATATATATATATATATATTATATGAAGTTTTAAGTGCTGCTACAAGGCCGGGTGGTAGAAGACCCAAACCTCAAGTTTTTAGACCAATCAGTCGAGGTGGTAGATAAATCTCTTTACCTGGACAGTCGTATAAGTTGCGGTGGACTAGCTGCAGCCGAGATTACTTCTCGAATATGGAAGGCCAGTGAAGTAATTATTAACCTATGAAACATATGGCGCCGCAGTGATGTCAATTCGTTTGCTGAAGGCGGAATGCCCACTGCAATGATACTATCCATAATAATTTGGGGATCGAAAACGTGATCTTTACACGCGTAGAGGATATAGGGAAAATGTCGGTGTTTGACCATCGATGTAACTGAAGCATCGGCCAGGTGTGATTGGAACATCAGATCAACGAGGTATGCCCGATGATTATATGGATGAACTATCTCATGAAAGATGGTGTATACACACCCCATAAGTTACGCTGGATATGGTATGGATTCCGCTTATCAGAAGGTCGCCTGCCTCCTGAATAACCTTTCTTCCACTCCTGTCCTGGGTTGAAGCGGCCGAACGACTAACAGTCTATGACCTGGTAACGAGGTTTGAAAGCAACAACCAGTCAGCTCAGTCAAGCTGGACACCGGGCTACTAGTTAATGAAACTGATGGACAACTCTATCACACATTCAGTGGTAATGCTGCCCAGTCTCTCGTTTTTTAGTACATGTAGACGGATTCAACACTAACTGCATGATTATGCCGTTGCCCAAGTACTTAGCTATGTACCATATATATCATATTTTACCGAAACCGAAGCTATAGCAGTTGGAACCAACGTACCGTTTGTACATGATTTATAGCAGATCACTGGGTTGGACTATTGAGGTGGGGGATCGATACATTTAGAAGTGAATTTCGGTCATTTCTATTGTTAGTCGACTTCTAGCAAAACGGTTGAGAATATGGGACGATTGGAACGCACGAAGGGATCATGGGATCTATATGTTTACATCAATCACATAGATAATCAAGGTTCTCGGAAACAGCAGTGCAGTCATCCTAAAAACTTGAGCATAATCTATGGTTCAAAATCAGATCCACTGACCTGATGGGGGTAGTAGGCTATCAGGCAAAGTTCCTGGTTACAAAAGGCAAACGATTGAAGTTGCTTTGGGACTGCCTCACCGAGTACACTTTGTATGACGACCTCTGAGTGGCACAAGTTAGAACGCACTGAATGACGAAGTCCGATTAGTCCTACAAACAGTACTGATCTGCAGTTCTGACCATCGCATTGCCTGGTTTACCAATGTGGGTGACAACACAACCTAGCTTCATGCACAAGAGCATTAAGACAAAGTAGTAAACGTTTTACACCGGAGGTGGAAAAATGCCCTTTATAGCCTGTGTCTTCACCTGCAGAGGGTTAATTTGGGTAAAGGTGGGGAAATTTGAGCGTTCAGCTGTAGCACCCTTCCGGTGCCTAGCTACCATGCCATCCGAAGGAAGCACGAGGGCTAAGATACTACCAGGTCGCCCAAGCCTAGACAGGCTTGGCCAAGGCATAGACAGGTGGGGAAATTTAGTTTTACTACACAATCGATGTACGAAGATGAACCAATCAGCACTGCTGTCGACAACCGGAAACAAAGTTCACTCCGAGGATAAGCAGAGACAGAAATAAGTTATTTTAAAAAAAAATAAAAGTGGGATAGGGAAGCTTCCTAGCAGCACAAGATAACTTTAGGGTTTCCTCGATACAGCCATCCGATATACAAGGACCAGCCTTGCGATTAGTGTCTCGGTGTGCACCGTTTGAACGAGAAACATCAATCTCAGATCATGCCAGATAGTACAATTACCAGACTACTGGCAACTGCGCAGTGACCTGCACTTGATCATGTGTTTGGTTTAGAATGTTCAAAGCGAAAGGATAGGCAAGTCACTCACACAGTCCGATGCTTCTGAGAAAATGCAGGAAGTCCACGGCTAATTTGTCCGGATCTTCCTCCATCACCATTCCTGTGCAGTCCGGAATCTGTCAAGAGAGTCGAACAAACAGTGTCTTACCCAAGACATAAAATCACACTTCAGCATGCATTGACAGACAAAAAATAATGCTGAAAGTTAAACTTCCTCCGCAAAGATTCACTCTCGTGTTTACAGTAATGACTAGTATAGTTTTGTCTGACATATCAAACCGAAGAAACAATGCGACTATTGTCTACTCAGAGAGAATAAGCAACTACTATAATTAAGTGGAGCCCCTGAACTTCAAGTTTCAAAACCACGATAATGCTTAAAATCTTGCATAAGCCTCTCGTCCACTGTATGAGTGCGTATCAGTATTGAGTTTTTGTTTTCGCCCGTAAGCAGATCAATACCAGTGTAGTCTTCTTCCTGCTGACCTCCACACGTTTCCGGATTTTTCGATGCAGCTAATATTCACTCTGTCTGACTTTGCTAACCCTCCTATTTATGAAATCCACTGTGTCGGAGATAGGATATTTAATCGAATTAGAAAAGAACTCCAAGCGGCAAGCCGTTGTCATCTAATCTCCTTTGATTAGTTGCACATACAAAATATGAAGTATCAGACTCAGTAACAGACATCGAAATAAAGTGGTGCGTTCTGTGAACTTCAGCTGAATCCTTCGTTTGTCGCAGCGTACGGAGTTTGGTGTTCGAGTAAAAAATAAGGCCGATGGAGATTCTGGGACTGGGCATGGCCGATGAGTCCCACGAGGGACAAAACATGTAGTGGGTTGTCCAGAGCTTTCATCGACTTTGTGAGTAGTAGTGAAAAGATGCACTGTTTTACACGAAGTGTCGTTAGTTTCGAGGTACGAGCAAGTTTCTAATGGAAGATTTTTTTGCGTGCACCAGGCATTGGTCGGAGTGGCCTAAGTAAATCCTAAGTCACAAGCCAGGATCCCGCAATCACCATGTACAGCGATGTTGGTGACCCAAAAAATCATGTGACTGACCGTTGTGTGTTTGGATGTTTTTGGCTCTATCACCGTATTGTTTCTTGCAGGTATTCAACTCTACTTGTTAGAAGACTTTGGTGGGTACTGCCAGAGTAAACTCTGCCGCCAGTACAAGTGAACTGATAGATAATCCAGAGTACTCCAATAACAAACAAAGCAGTCGGACTGCAGAAACTATCTATCTAGGTTCGAAATCATCTTGAATTTCCGATGTCAACGAATTCATGCTGAATCTCTGTTTCGGAAAAAAGGCCACTTGTGACGGTGAATTAAGGTCACTAGTTTTTCTCCGCGAGCATTTGCACTAGCCACTTCAAAACCGAAAATTGAAATGTGTCCATCTCTATGGGGTCGACAGAAAACGGAGCGTCCTGGTAATGCGATCTAGAGTAAATGAAATGTCAAGCTAAACATCAAGCTAGCACTCAGTTTTAACAGGTTACGTAACAGGGACGAAAAAGTAAGACAAAAATTAACAGGATTTAAAGCAAGTTGATCAAGAGGGGCCAATCATCCTACGGGTTTGGACAGAAATAAATTTTGGAAATGCTTACAGTGAGAAACTGCGTCTTTTTAGGATCCATCTGTCCGTTCATCTCCTCCAGAATTCGACATAAGTCCACAGCTCGGTGTCCAGTGACAAGACACACGTCCGTCTTGATAACAGTTGGTTCAGACGCTGGGGCCTCGGGTTCACCCGGCATTGCAGGACCAATTGGACGTATTAGGTTTATCTCAGTTCGATCAATAAAGGCTCGTATGTAGCCAGCGAGATTGAGTGGATTAAGACTGCGTGCAAGTTGATGGTAAAAGTGTAAGATATCATCATTTTCAGCCAATCCCTAAATAAACATGAAAGGAAAGAAAAATACTGTAGCAAAACGGCACGGGAAACCGACAACATGGTTCACTGATCAATGCATCACAATCACCGTGAAATTGCACCGAGTAGACTTACATAACCAAACCAATGCGCGTCCAACTGTTCCAACAGATAGTCTGTGAGAACACCTTGTTTTAGGTACGGTATATCCCACCAAAGACAACGATATTTCTGATAGTATGTGTGAGTGGTAGCCGTGGGATTGAGCAGGAATAGAGCCAGCACGTTGTCCGGATGATGTAACTGGTTGGAAATGTATAAGGGCATAATGTCAGTTATAAAAAAAAAAAGAAATATTGCTCTTGAATTCAGCGGGAGACAGAGGACTGTCCAACAGATCACAGGCGAGACAGTATAAGTGACCATTTGTAAAACAAAGTTGAGTACAACAATGGTATCCATTCGGATGAATGTGAGATCCTCGTCGAAAAAGAAGACCGGGTACAGGTGGCCTTCATCACAATTTCACACTTCGTCAAGTACCAAAACGTGGGAAATTGTGTGTTCCTTGTTTGCAAAGATGCGCAAGGCTCTGTCGGCCAGCCCGTAATTCTAAAAATGCTTGACAGAACTGAGGTCACCAAACCATATCATTTACGTCGCAGTAGTGCATTAATGGGATTCAAAGGCCACGAGAATACAATTAAATTACTGTTTAATGGATATAAAGTCCACATTTGGAGCGTCCTCGGGACTGCAGTAACTGATTCATCTGAGCTATTGCTTGTGCCATTTAAAGCCAGTGGAAATGCGATACGGCAAATGAAACGCAAGTGTTGGGCAGTGCAGACGGAAAGCAAGGCAGAGAAATTTCCGTCGATCGCTGCCGAAGTGTTCTGACATTTCAGAGATGCTGACAACCCAGACTCCTTACGGAGGGTTGCAACTGGGTTATGGAGTTAATTTTCATGGAGATGTTTAAACCCGGCCAAGAATTATTACTTGAAACTTAACATGAATGGAGTGAAGTAGTAAGACGTGAACGAAAATTCCAGTGTAATTTTTGTTCTATCCAGTCCAGAAATTCTGACTACCGAGCAGTTGAAAATGGCTCGCAGGGTGACTGGCGATAGAGGCATGATAAAAAGAATATGTTGCTCATCGTATTGGTATCGGCAGAAGTCCATTCTCACGGCCACAGCTGACAGTAACGTAAGCACTGACCACCAGTACTTCAGTGCCACAATCTAACCAGGACGAATTTCGGGTAACAGACATGTGCAAGTCTGACTAGATATTGATTTTTTGACGACAAACCAACTCAGAACTGAGGAGGTTGGATGCAATCTAACGAGGAAATAGTTTACACTCTACTAAGACACACCACAGCCGTGCTTCAGCAAAGACCTATAGAGTTTGGGCCACTAGTGGATAAGAAATAAGGGTGCCAATATGTGCGTTAAACAGTAGATAAAAATTTAACCAGGAATTCGTACCGCATAGCGAGATAGAACGTTTGAACCGGCACCCATGCCGAAGCCAACGAAGTAGTCGATTCTGTTAAGGGAATGAGAAAAGACAGTACACATCAATATAAGTGAGTGAGAAGAAATGATGGTTCACTACACTCAATCAAGAAAGAGATACCGAATCGATTAAATTGGAAACTACAGAGGCCGCATGCTAGTTCAGTTCTAAGGCGCAAACCTATAGTAGCATTTAATATTTCGTCACCGATTTGGATTATCAAGCTTTCGAATTGTTTTCGATACGTCCCCTAATTTATTTTGTAAGTTTTTGAATAATTCCGGCTTACAGTAGAAATGCTGATGACTACACAGCAGGTGTAGTGAATCAAACTGTTTGAAGTTCGGAATAACGTAGGTAGCCTTTATGTCAGCCATTGGTTCGGTTACACAGGTCGGTCTCTGCGTCTACAGGTCAGGTGGCTTGATTTAATATACCCGTTATGTGGCCATCAGCATTTTCACTTTTATTCTATATGCACCGTGTAATACTGTGTACTAGAAAGGACTCTCTGTGACCATCGTAGTGCGGACTAAGCTGTATAATAGCTAGCACGAGACAGCCATTTTGGGTTCGGATCACCAGACCAGTTCTAGAATACACTGTGGACCTCAACGACTCAGTTGTCCTCACTTGACTTGAAAATCTAGAACGGCCCCCTCCTGTCCACCCCAAGATCTTTTGGTTGCAAATGCAGCTTGACGCAAATCGCGTGTGGCATTGCCTACTATGAGTGGATGTGACAGGTGATTTCACAAACGGATGCCAGCCCGTTAAAGCATAATCCGAGATGCATACAAACCAATCGCAATCGGGTGAAGATATACTACCACATTCCTAGAGAAAACAACTACTGGAGCTTCAGTAGTCTCGCTCTAGAGAGAAACCATTAAACAGGAGAACGAATCATTTCACATCCTGAATATTCTCACCAGTAAATCCGGTGTACACTGAACACAAGGTAAGAGACCACTCAAACCAGAAATCAGCCCATTACGGAATGCTCGTCACACAAACTCTCGAGACAGAACCAATACAGTCTGAGTACACTACAGCTAAAACGTATTTGTCTCATCAACCTCATTTGTACCTGATCTTGTTTTACTGAGTTGCGCCAACTCAGCATCGACAAATTGAGTAACGCTTAACACGGGGTCTGTTGTTGAGAGTAGCCTCTGCTCCACGTAGACCGATTTAAAAACCTCCAATAAATTCATGACATTCCAATGCCAGTACCGAGTAGAAAGTCTGTCATGAACGCGTTTTGTCTTAAAATAATCTACCCACCCACGTATACTGTGCCATCATCAGTCGGCACAGTCAGCAGCGATTTTTATGTGCTTCACAGTGGCGTTCATTTATGAACCTTTGCTGCTGAGTACACGATGTAATGACTACAGTGTCGATGGAACCTCTTAAGCGCTGAAACATTTAGAATAACCACGCTTTCACTACTGTAAATCAACTAGCTTAACTTGAAGACGACAGTTACCGGCCTAAAAAAGGCAATGAAACATCCGCGGAAAGTGAAGATTTTAAGGACCCATTTGGACAGAATTACAAGACTGCGGCAAATTTCAACGTCAGTCCAAGCAGACATTAGCGTTCAAGTCGTTTTAGAGAATCCATTCATAGAATGAACCAATCCAATAAAAAGCCGCTAATGCATAAATGACCAAAACTTGGGCAAGTAATCTTGGACAAAATACTAGAAGACTTATTCAATGGCAAAAATGTCAAATCTTCACTAAAAAGACACTAGGGAAGAAAACTACGGTGGACGTTCCTTCCAGAAGCGAACCACTGCACCTTGAAGAAAACCACTAAAACCTGTGCCAAATTTCTTTGATTGATTGAGGGTGGATTAACAAGAAGACTGGACAAAAGACAGATAACCATGGTACACTTGAAGGAGAGCAACAGGTGTCATCTGATAATGACTCCACTAGGTTTGGACAATTAGTCGTCACAAGAAACTAGTAACCTAAACCCTCGGCTACACCTCTCTGGAAACTGCCCACCAAAGAACCAAAAGCGATGCCTTCTGAAATGTGGTCCATCCAGAGGAAGGAAAATGTGACCGGGAAATTCCTCTCGTTAAACAACAATCTGAGTAATTGAACAAGTTGCAAAAAATGGAAAACCGAGGGTGGCTCCACATTTATAGAACGCGGAAAGCAGTGCTAATATAAAACAGCTCACGAACAGTGATGATGTCTAATGAAGGTGACAACAGGATAGAAGAGCTTTATAGAAAGCGGTACTGAACTTCGACACTGCCTAACGTCGAACCGAAAAAGAGAGCACAAGCAGCTTCAGTAAGCCGAGAGGACGATCGCAACATTATACTCAACAAGTTTTTGGTCTAATTTTAACTACATGAAAACTTCACTTCTATTCGCGATAAGCATGTCAATAGTTTATATATGAACGGACAATCTGGGGACGATGTGTGCTACACACGCTTACCTCAAACCTACGCCGGAATAAAGTATTTCATCTGCCTATGTCGGAACAATGCACAATACAGACACAACCTACAACGGAGTTGACAAGCGTGAAAGTAAAATCGCGTGAAATCAGTTATATCCAACAGCTGATAGGCTGAGACAAACTTGAAGCAACAAACATTACACACGAAGACAAAAGAAAGGGAATGAGTCACTTCATCACGGGAGCCCTAACTGCGCATGTAGTGAAGCCCTGAGTGATTTGTGTATGGTACGTTGATCTGCAAACCACTGTCGAGCTGATAAACTTGATTGTGAGGTTGAACTGGCGAACTGATCTGACCACATGTGAGGGAGTTCACTATAACCACGAATCCCCAACATGATAGAATGTGAATGTACCTGGTGTATATGAACCTTAGTTAACAGTGATGGCCTATCAATCAAAGGATGACGCCCCCGATTGGTCTACGCTCCCGTAACGATTCAATTAAAGGAGGAAACTGATCACAGTTTACCTCAGTAAACTATAAGCCCACATCTTGGTAGTTGCCACTAACCCCAAGGGTGACCAGCTGGGATAAACAGATAGTCAAGCTGCTTAGCTAAGTGGACGGAAAATGCCTAACCCTACAAATAGCATGAAAAGATTAAACGAAGGCCATAGAGCATCAAAACGATATAATGATAAGAGCTGTTGACCACAGATTATTGAGGATAGCTTTGCTGAGAGATTTCACTGTGATTATGTCAGACTGCTTGATCAGAGTTTATTCACTAGGATAGTCGATACCATTGAAACACCCTATGGTAGGTTGCATTTGTTCAGACAAGCGACTCATGTGAAGGTCAGGAAACGAGGTTGTCCTAGGGGAGGCACGTTGTGAAAGGGAGAACAAAGAGCCAAGGTGTAGATAACGTATGAAGATTAAGTGATCGTTAAAATCCCGTTCTTGGGATGCCTGCTGTCAGGTGAAGGCTGCCCACAACTCGGCAATTTCCGACCCATAGCAGAAATTCAAACACACAGGTATGACAGGCAAGTGTTTGAATGCTGCCACACTACTGGGGGAACTATGCACACAAGAGTCATTAGAGGGCGGTGCAATTTATCAACGAAAAAAAATGAGTCACGATCAAGAATTAGCATGTACTGATTTTGCACTATCTCGCAGATTGGCGAAGAAATGTCCCTGAACCAATCGAACGTTAAGCTTCGCACGGTAAATCGATAAACCGATTAGCATTATTGAACGAGTGAATGTATTAGGAATTCATGTTAACGGCAGGAGTGCACTGAAGACCACCATTCATCCCGAGTACAAGCAAATTAAATCACCACAGGCTGTAATGGAATAAGAGTGAGCTTTTTCAACAAAAAAGTACATACCCGAAGTGAACGAGAATGGAAGTTACCATCTCTGCCAGTTGGTCCAAATTCGGATACTGCAGGCTGGAACGACACAGAGAAGATAGTTTAGAAAAGCGCATTCTGGAGATCACCTTGCTTGTAGGAATTGTTTACTCGACGCAGTGACTAGATCGATTAACAGCAAAGTGAAAACATCAGGTTGCTGAAAATTCTTCGAATATTGTGCCACCTGAATTGCAAGGGGGCACATGCCCAGCAAAATCAAAACAGTATGAACGAGAGCTTCAGCCAAGGCCCACTTGAATTTCCCGTTAACATCAATTTAATTCGTCAAACCACCCTATTATTTGAGTGTTTACGGTAGAAAACACGGCGAATCAGGTTCGGTGCTCAAATATCTAATCTGACTCATTATGTTTTATGCGAACCATGAATGCCCAAAACACGATTACCCATCACTCGGGCGAATTATTCACGACAATTCGGCCATTGATACAACGTGTGCCTATTGTAGTGGTGGACCCATTCATCACACCAAACGTCATCATACTGCACGTTCGGGTAGCTAAGCAACCGAAAATAAGGGGGATAGTTAGACACATTAGACTGCTTGACGTCAGAAGTAAGAAGGGGAAATTTTGGCGGTTTCGAAAGTGCCGTAGTGAAAACTTAAAGATAGACTTTTTAGGTCAGCGATACACTGCCAGCGTTAGTGTCTTAAGAATCCAGCAATGGATGCACTGAAGAAGAGCATACATGATAGGATCTACGGATCGGTTGCGCAGAGATCGGCACCCACTGAAGTTCGCTCAAGTGAGCTCCCGCTAAGTGAAAAGACACACTCGATTCCTGTTGGAAATTTATTAGGCCCCTTGTGTCTTTGGATGAGTTGACGCTAAGTCAGGCAGTGCCACCGATAATAGAAGAAACAGGATTACACACTTATCTCTGCTTTGGGTGTACACAAAAACGGCACTTAATGAAACAAAACCGACCGAACGAATTTCATGGGTCGTAAAAGTTCTTATGGGCATTCAGACGAAAGAGCATCTTACATAATGATGCTAGCACCATATAAGCGATTGAATTATGTTACCTTGTCCTTCTATACTTCACCAAGATCTGAAAAAGCTTCACTTTAGTTGCCATCCCTATTTAATTGACAACTTCCGACCAGGATTTGTCAGCACTCAATCGGTATCGCAATAACATAACCTCCAACAGAATGGCTCTTTCCTCCTACAACACTTTCTTATATATTTCTCAGGATACCTTGCAGCGACATCGAACGAGTATTTTCGTCTTCTCTTCGGCCGTTTTGACGCGAGGGCCGAAGGCAAAGCACCCTTTAGCTTCTCTTACACGCAGTATATCACACAGAGTCAGGGAAAAATCCATCCAACATTTGATTCCAGTTCCATTTTCGTCTCCCCTGATAACCGGTCTTTAGGTGAAGGATTCATTCAGAAGAAAGATTTGACCAACGCCGAAAAGCCAGACACAACTTTGCAGATGTTTCATTCCCATTTGGAATTATCAGTTTTAAAAATAGGGAGGCATCAAAAACACCACCCCTTGGATTTATAGCGTCTACCTAACCATCGAGTGCACTTCAGAGAAGAATGACCAGAACACATTGTATTTCCCTGATACACACCTGACCAGGAGTGACGGAACGCCGCTGCGGACAATCTGTTGAAAACCATGTGGACTGGACAGTATAGAAATTTTCATAGCTTTATGTCTTTCGGTCAGAAAGGAGACCTAGTACAAACACTGTCTCGTCAAGCTACGACTTGCTAGTGCAGACAGATGAGGAATGAAGTGACGAAAATAGCCAACATCATTTCTATACACACCCTTCAATCTGTATCAAAAGTTAGGTTGTCCCCTGGCACTAAGAGTAACAGCTAACAACTCATTCATCATGTTGATTCATCCTTGCGCTTGTGAGGGTTCCCCAGACTATTTGGTTCGTACTACAAGGCACATGTCCACAAGAATCAAAGAACGCCTGTCGACCCATACAACAATAGGGACTCGCAAAAGCAATCTGGGTGTTGCATCGACCTTTTGCTTGAAACTGCAGGTTCAACAAAAAAGATCATGCTTTTAAAACCGTTCCAGCTGACCTCTTCAAAGCTGAGGAGGTAACGATCCGCCTGCTCAACCCGACACTGTGTCCAAGCGTTCAGATTAACCTGGCCGACGAACGAACATATATAAGTTCCATCCCGTTGTTTCGTCGGACATTAGTCCACCGTAGACCGTACTTATTTTCCTTTTTGACCAATTTTTATTTTCATCTTGTAGTGTTCACCGATTTATGCTACTGTTTTACATGCAATGAGAACACTCATTCGCGGAGATACATGGAAAGCATGCAGGTTCGCTAACCCCGTGTTCTATATAGACCAGATGTTGAAACAAAGTGCGGCTAAAAATCGTCGCAACAAAAGACCAGAATCCATCTGCCAGGCTCACCTGATGTTCCACAGACTTTGTTTTTACGGAAGACCGCTTATTGGAAAACTCGAAGAACGACAATGAGTGAGCTGACTCCTCCTATAAGAATCCGCTACAACAAACTGTTGGAATAAACCGTTCTTGTGCGTACTTTAATGCTGGAACCGGGATAGCAAGTCACGTAATTACGGGACCTTATAATACAAAACACTAGTGAGCGATCCATTTATAAATATCTGACCATTTATGGTTGTCAACAGAACACTGCTCAGTAGTGTTCGCGTGTACACATTTCCATCCTAGGAAAAACTAATTGAAAACAACCCATAATTTGAGAAAGAAAGCACCCGAAATTTTTAGAAAGCCTAGTCCAAACGGTGGGCTTCCCAATAAGCGGCTTTGAACGAGATCAACCTGACGAATATTGATTAGGAAAACTGTTCATCTAACTAGTCGCCGGACCTTGTAGAATACCAGATAGTCCTCAGACAGTAGGCGTTTATACCACAGATGTCTGGTCTTCAATCATGCGAATATTTAGTCTATGCCGCACACAAAAGGAGAAAGTATTCTTGCGGTTGGGGATAAGACGTGTTGATGATTGCCAACACAGAATTCCCACGAGGGGTTGGGATGAAATGAGATCAGTCGGACAAATCGAAGAAAAATTGCCACCGTCTGCACGGTCGATAGTATATGTGGTAAATATATGCTATAATAAATGCACGTTATTTAGGTAATTTCCAACAGAAGCATTATTGGTTTTGGAAGAATTTCTTGCTCAATTTCCCCAATCAGAAGGGACTAGTTTTGGTCAGTCCCTTCAGGCAGTTCTCTTCAAATAATAAGTGAAGCTTAAAACTTCAAAACCTCGTCACTAATTACAAAATGGGTCTTAGCCTCATCTTTTGCCTGCGTTCCCATATAAAAAGGTACACGACAGCGCCCTTTAAAAACATCAATGGCGTCTGGTAGGGCCAATCTATCTAGTGATGCATCCTCAAAAATGTCCTTTGAAACAAAATGCGTTATCGGTAATATCAAGCAAGCTAAATTTGATTAGGACAAATGGAACTCATGGGAATCAGGTGTACCCGCAGCACAATAGAAGTCTCTGGAAAACAGAAACAAGAAACGATTGAAGAACATCCTCTTTTCCAAGCCGACAGTAAAGCAGCAGGTGCGCTTCTGTCTGCTTCGAAATCATTCAAAAAGACGACGTATTGAGGGCTTTTCTGATGGTCGTTCTTCTGTGAAAAGATATTACACAAAGTCCCTATGGGAAGCATCTTCGACCCTTCACGGAAGAGGTCATCCAGTCTTCCTTGGATAAATCACTGCGGTCGACTCACCTAGTGGATAAAACCTTATTGACAACTACTGACAGTAGCCTCAATCGCTTTACAATAACAAAAATGAACTTCGTGAGGAGGAAGAAACTGCGAATTCATACAAACACCTAGAAATATCATAACTAATTAACGCACAATTGTTACAAGTTCTGACCGTCAACCAGTCGGTACAACTTAGTGAAAGGTATTCGTACAAGTAGAGGCATCAGGATAATCAATAGCAAGGCTAGTTAAAGTGATCTGATAATGTCCTGAAGTAAAGTGTCTGAGAATATCATGGAAAACCTCAACAACGAAAGGAATAGCTGTGAAGTAAACACAGGTGGTTGGTGACAAGAAGAATGTCACCCACTTAACGGCTTCAGCAATGAACGTGGAATACACTGCTTCGGTGGTGTTTAAAAACTGCTGACGATCAACAATATATAACTTACCCAACTTCCGAACTAGCTGCCCGGCCCATGGGTAACGTTGGATGAGAGGCTCGTGTGGAAACAGTTGACGCTGCCTTCTCCGGACCACCTTCCTTATCGACCAGCAAAGATTGACTGTGATTGCTTGCCGCTGCGTCGCTAAGTTGGACATTAAAAACGAAGTATATTCTAGCGTTCAGAGGTGGAACAAAACGGGTTCACACAAATGGAATCTCAACCCACAGGAGAGAAGGGAGCAGGCGACTAAAGAACGGCGCAAAAGGAAGTTGCCTGGCTGACGAAAATTCTGTAGGCTACACAACGATAACACAGTTTGGATGGGAAGGCAGACCAACAAAAGATGGATGCGAGAAAACTAAAATTAAAAAGCACGATCAGACTGCAAGCAGAAAATAAATACGGGGTGATAGATGACAAAAATTGCTATCCAACTATTCGGAGGATCTTCCCCAGTAGTATAGAAAATCATGCATTTGAAATCCCGAAGTCGTAAAAACTTTCGGAAATCATGAAAACACTAACATCCACAGCCTGAATGCTACTGGATGATTCACTCGTACACGTTTATGTATGTTGAGTGCGATTATCAGACCTACCTGAGGTTAACAGATTGCTACCACTACGTGGATGTGAAAATGACTTTCCGTGATCATCTTCCTATAGACCAACCGAAATATCCTGGTAGCTAGAATACGTTGGTGTGCCGACGAATGAGCTAGAAGTGACATTTCATGATCAGCACTGTATTGACCAAAACACGTCCAACCAAGGCTAAGCACAGAACGCCATGAGGACTCGGTATATTAGTACTGCAGACCCTCAGGATATCCCAAGCGGATATCATTAGGTTCACCATCCAGGCTGTTTCCATATCCGTCTACGAGATACAGCATTAATGTTCTGGATAGATCGCAGTACTAATCCCACAGCAGCGTTAGAAGTGACTCCTCGTGACCATCAAACAAGAACTATTCACGTGTGCGTCTTGGCTGGGCACTATGAGTGGCGCGGTCCAGTAAACCATCTTTTGTAAGTATTATGGGTTATCAGTTGGACTTCAGAACTAACTTGGGATGTCCATCTTCCGTTCTTATTCTCTTAGGTTTATACCGAGAATAAGTCGTACGGCTGGTTACATATGTGGTTTAGCGTAAACCGCATGCCCGCGGCTGTCCATCCGCGAGCTTCGATTTGTCATGCCAAACCGGAAACGGGCACCAGTCCACCATAGGTGCATTCAACCAATAATAGTTGGCGACAAATGGAACTAGTAGACCCGGTAATCCGAAAAGTGCACAAATGATTTCGTTCGAGTCAACCAAGAGATCATTACGCAATCCCAACTCTACGTAAGTACAAACCGATGAACAACAACATGCCAGGGTTGAATATGTGCACAATAGTTCACGCATTCTTTTATTAAATGGCAGTAACTGACTCAGCTTGAAAAACCAAACAATAAAAGCAATGGGTAAGATGAGTTCAAAACCAGCAACCAAGATTTACAGTGAAGCAATAATAGAAACACTAGTAGTAGGTAGCTCCCCTAAGGGAACCATAAAAAACCCGACGCATGCGACGACAGTTTGCCACACTACCTTGAACAACAACGAACATGCGTGGGACCGAAACAACAGCAGCCAAAGGCACACTAATAAACACTCACCTCAACAGTCGACGAAAATGCCGAGATGGGACTCTGTGTAGACCACAGATTATTGGTCAGAGTTAAATAGCTTAAACACCGTACAAAACAGGGTCATTTGCTGCCAAAACCGGTTGTGTGACCTGTGCAAAGTAGGACCGGACCCGCTCACAGCAGAAATTATCTCATAGTGATCGTGCAGTGACATATCCAGCCAGGGGGCATGCAGCAGATATTTGGTAAAACCCACAAAACCTTTCTACGTCTCAGACAGGGGGACCGAATCAAAATCTCACTCTCCTGGAGTATATGATCAATGAGAACACAGGATGACATCACGGAGTTCCTTTTAGATAGTGAGACGAGCTGAAGCATCATTTTTGTTTGGTAATCAGCTTTGGCTGCAATCAACTACACGAATAATATCCGGCAAAATGGAAACCATCATCTGGATGTGGGTGTGACTGGAATCAGATGGATGGGGGGGGGGCGGAAGTGAGCAACGAGAAACTGGATGTGGGTTGACTGGAATCAGATGGAAGGGGGGGGGCGGAAGTGAGCAACGAGAAACTCAGTAGCTTCACTGGAACCGCGAATCTTCGCAGGACTTACAAAAACTGACAAATACCCTTTCACCTTTCGTAAATAATTTGGAATTTAATTAACTTAAAAGAAAAAGTCAAGAGAATAGGAATTACGGACTGACATTTTAACGGACGGTTTTTTGCCATAAGTGCCTGCTTATTTCCAGTACTTACTGGGAAGTTGTTCCCTTCAAAGTCGTGTGGCAGTTAAGCGCTAGTACTTACTGTACTACTGTCTAAGACGATGGCGATAATGAAGTAGAGATAGAAACTGACATCACCACCATCCATGACGGTAGTAGCAGATCTGAAAAAGCGCTTCACTACCGCACATCAATTTCAATTTGTCTGAGTAAAGCTTTATAATGGAAAGAGGAAAGAAATTTGAGAGGGAGACCTAGGGCTAGTCTACAACAAGCACCTGAGGTGCCCACATCTCTAAAGGTCAGTCAGACAATTTGGATAGAAACTAACAGTATGAACGCTACTGCCATCGGTTAGCCGTCATATTAGTGAGGTTTAAATTTTCATTAGGATATCATAGCTATTAAAGAAAAAGTGCAAACCAAGGTGGAAGCAATGCTAATTCTTATCTATGACTTGCAGTCTGGCGTTACGGGGGATAAAAGCAGCCTCTTAGATAACATCACATGAAAATTCCGAGGATAATTCTCTCAGGACTGCTTTGGCACGCTGAGAGCGGTAAGTCCTGCTTGACCAGGATGAAAAATCTTCATTCGCCTCTTATACAGCCCCCCTCCTTGTTTGGACCGAATGGTGACCTCTGTGGCATCGAGAGAAAGATTCTCACTAATAAACAAGACGGAACAAGTGGTGGATAGTCCGACACGTGAACACATGATGAACATGAAGAACTGTAATACATTGGTCAGTTGGGAATACGGAATTTAATACGAAATACACACAACTGTGTACGCCAGACTCACTCTAGCGATACATTCGGGGCGTTCTCGTGATGACCGGGGGCGCAAACGTGATAAACCACAAAGTGTTTGGTGATCACACGCATATCTGGGTGATTGAAGAATCCAAGAAATGAAGTATCTGGAGAGGAGAGAATGGTGGAGAAAATAACAGAATTAAACGAAGGCTTCCAGAACGTTCAAAATCAGCTTGGGTTAACAATCAGAAAAGAATTTGGTGGTTAACGGAAACATATGTGATACTCCAGTGAGACGCAATCACCCAAAATCCACAATATACAATAAATCATGCTGGCGGGGGCTCAAAAACCTACTGATATCTCCGAATACAGTAGCCCAGCTTCGTTGCAGAAATACTTTCCGGGGAGTGTCACATTTCGGCGATGCGGGGTGTTCCCTCTTGAGGGAGGAAATGATATCAACCACCTACTATAACCAATGGTAGCTAGCTGATGAAAGATTAGTTATCTGATTCCCAACAGCCTGTCAGATTATGGTAACATTCCCCATCTTCAAGGAATTGGAGGTGAACTCTCCCATTGTGACTTAGCAGATTCACTAGTGAGTTAGTATGGTGATTCTGTACAATACTTGTAAGTTCACATCATCTAGGTCGTTACGAACGGCCAATTAGGGTTATGTCTAATCAACTCGGATAAAACTACAAAAGATGACGGTGCGAGGAGGAATCAATGCAATCGTCGGGAGCTCGATGAAAGTCGAACTACTATCGCCGAAACAGCCTCTCTTAGGTATCCGATACCTCCTGTTTGTATCGAAACTGATTAAAATGTTCCGTCAAATGCTACTGTGTTTGCATCCCAGGCTGAACTGTAAGCAGTGGGGAGTCGCCAAGAGACCGTGGCAGAGTTCATCTGTGATGAGGACAATAGCGGTTCGACGAAAGGTAACTGGGGCATTTCAAAGGACCATGAAGCTCGGTATTTTTATCTCGAGTGAATTGTCCGTTTCGGAGACGTGAAAATGTTCTCTGTATAGTTATTCAGGGGCCCTCCATTGGTCAAGATTGCGAAGTGAAAAACCTGCATTCTAAAAGTACTTCCTCGTGGAGCTGCACTGATTCCGAAGACGCGCCTCCCAACACCGGTGATTAACCCAAACGTAATGATGGTCAAGCCTACATTCAATTCAAATAGGTACTCACGGAGAGGCATCAGTTAACATGTCTGTAGCAGCGGGTATGGTTAAGACTCCCCATAGGAATTTCAGTCAGCATGTCTCCAACATCGGATTCATTGCTTCGTGCATGTGGGACAGCTGTACAGTATCTCAGCTGGTACAGCACCCATTAAGTAGGAGGCTGTGGATCTGTGATAACGCTTTTCACTTCCATGATGTGTAAATCGTTCTTCCACCCTGTTCCTGTTCCATCCTGCACAGACCCGTGGAGAGCAGCTTTAAAGGCCTACGGTGTTGTTATTTCCCAGTGCGACTTTTGTAAAATAGTTGGAGCTGCATTTCGCCATGAGTGATGGGGGTTTTGTGTTGCTAGGTCTACACAAGCTTCAGTCACCTCCAATTATCAACAAGGCACCGAAACACTGAAGCGATGAAATTGCAGATAAACAAGCAAGCAAACTTACGGTTTGTGCCAATGTCATGATAGGTCAGCAACGCCAGTTTCCCATGACCTCGTTGAACGTAAACACGTTGGGGAACTCCAGTAGATGTGAGGATCTCATGTTCCTGAAGTGGAGACATGAATTTTCGGAAGATGGGTGAATACTGCGGGCAACAAAATGTAACTTTTGGCTTTATGTAGCTGTTGGTACATCTAAGTGAGAACGTCAGACAATGTTCATACATGCCACTGTTAGACAACAATTCGTTTGTTTAGAGTCATTATCAAATGTGAGGACGTTTGCTTGATACCAATTTCAAATAAAGACAGTAAGGCGTTGGAGAAGTTCGAATTGACCGAAAATGTGCATGCCATCTGCAGCTGCCATACGCCCGATAGAGTGAGCTTGTACCGGAATTTCGTATAGATGTGATATCCATATTGCTGATTACACAGCACTTCCTTTTTGAAGTAAACAGAACCAAAACGGAAGCAAAACTAGACAGGGCCACTTAGAGTAGCACAGTTTGTCGGAGTACTTTTCACGAACTAGCTTCACTTTTTAACACCATATCGCTTCTGCATGGCTATGACATGACCTTATGTGGGATATCACATTCAAGTGACACAGCGAAGCACACAGGAATCAGAGCTGCAATAGTCGACCAAATAGAACGATTGTCCCGAAGACCGTAAATTAATAGCACACATTGCTTGGTGTTGGAGCGGGCCTTAAGGAAAGAGGTATGATACAGAACACCAAGAGATGACACTTCGAATCTACGTATAAATATGCGAATCATCTACATGGGTGCACGAGAAGTTAGTGGTGTATGAACACTTTCTGGCAAATGATGGGAAACATAAAAAATAGTGTTTGATGAAATAAACACAAGATGCGAGCCCGAAGAAAGCCAAACTAAGAAAAGAACGAAAACTGGTGCATTTTCAGCGAGAACTATGAAGTGTGATGCAAAAAAAGGAGCAACCCAAAATTAAAGACCTGGTTAAAATCTACATAAATAAAAAACAATGAATGCGTACCTCAAGTTGTGGCGTCGTGCGATGCAAAGGCATTCCACCACTAAACTCATCGCCACACGAAGTAGATCCACTGAACAAAGGTGCATTAGGTCCACGATGGTGCAAGTTAGTGGCACCCTGAAATTCTACCAGTGGAACCTCCATTTCAGTCGGTTAACTGAAAAGTAACGGTTTAACAATCAGAAATGACAGAGAAGAAACAATAGAGGTTTGGGCTATCATTAAAAATAGTCCAGTTGTTGAATTGAAGAGTGGGTTCAAGCAGTCCACAGTTGTGGTGACTAACGGTGATTCATTAGCTTGATGTTGTCCCCAAGTGGTGCGAATGATTGATGCATGCACTCGGCCCGAAACTATAGCATCTGCCATTTAAGGGGGTAAGGAATACTCTACAGAGTATCCTCTTGATCTGGTCTTCTATTGTCTACACTTCACAAGCTTCTGTATATCCACCACTTTGTCCCGAAAGAAATTGACAGCAAGGGCACCACTGACATAGATTGGCCGTCATTTCTTTCGGTTTCCAGCCAAACACACGGGGTTCACAAGGACCCTATCCTGGAAGCATGAACGTAGACTTATTGTAATCTCCTTAACATCCTTCCACTAATTGATAAGTTGTCCACCGCGCCGTTTGCGCCATTCTGAAGGAGACACAGAAAACAATACAAGTCTCAGTGGCGATGACTCGACTTACATAGCACATGGTCGAGCCACTGCAGCTGACAGCGCTGGAAATTGCCCGCGATTAAAGCACCTGCCGCGCAGCCAAATTCTCTCTTCGATTACCTCGTTACGAATTCGTTGACGGCATCCCAGACAAGTAACATTTCAAAGACACCCGTGATCAAAAACCTGAAGACGCCTTAAATCGTCTGTCCGCAGAGACCATGTCTCACAAACATACAACAATACGGTTCTTACTGTTGCCTAGTACATGTGACCCTTGAGACCATATGATGTGCATTTTCTGACGCCACGAGTGCTACACATTAGCAAACATGATTCGGGCCTTTGAGACTCGTGCACTGAATTTATCAAAAATACTCCCATCAGAGGTGATATGTGTGTAAAATTCTCCAAAAGCCCGTCCTTTTCCTTGGAATGCAAAGGGCTTGTTCATGGGCTACACGTTCTGAGGCGCACCTTAGCAATTTATGGGTGCAAGGCGCACGCCGAAAGAGAGTATGACGGTGCTAAGTTTCACATATGAAGACGACGTCACCTGCGTTCTCTAAAGCGATAAGTTCCTACCAGTAGCCTGAAGACCCGGACTTTTAAGGCCTCTCTGCGTTCGCCTCAACACTTCACCGATGACGAAGTTGGACAGATATGCAGAGAGCGGACATCCTTGCCGGAAAAAAAGTTTTTAAGGAGACTTTCAGAGAGCTCACCATACACCCTCATCCGCCGAGGTATGGGGATATATCTACCGGATTATGGTCACAAATGTCCGGGACACTCCTAGTGACCGTTGGCCGATCGGCAGAATCGAACACACCTTGGAAGTCAAGTGCACAGTCAACAGCGAATTTTTCCAAGGGAACCTGTTCAGGCCTAAGATCCCTCTTGGTGCCTGCCATATCACCCGAAGGAAGAACAAGTGCTGAAATGGTATCAGGATTGCGGAGTTGGGTTTGAACCAAGGGCCCTGACCACCGAGCCATCACTCGAAAGGATATAGATACTGTGAGTGAGTAGTTGATGACTCTGAAATACGTGATAGTCAAAATGAAAAAGATTCGGTCTGTTTCGACTACTCTCCTAGGATTTTTTTAGCAGTCCTTAGGCGGTTTGGTGGCCTCACATCCCACGAATTCCGGTTGAGAAACCCAATGTTAACAACGTTCTGAACAATCTGTTTCATATCCTCTTCCGCGTTTAAAGATTCAAATGGATTTTTTAAACCTGCATTAGGCTGAGTGCTGGTATGCGGAAGGATCTAAACGTCAATTATATCAACTCCCACTGTGTTCGGCAGTACACAGTTTCTAAGAGGGATGATATGGTTTATTAAGGTTAAGACTTTCTTAGGAAGGCGGAGAGGTCTCCAGACCTTGACGGCGTCAGCTGTAAACGACGAAAAAGCTAAGCCAATCACCACCACCACCACCGTCATTAGTAAATAATGGTGCTTAACTGGTAAGCAACCGTGAGGAAGGAATGTCCCAGTAAAAAGTGGAAAGAATGGATAAGGGTAGAAACCCAGAACAAACGGCATTATGTCCTCAGGTGTCACAAGTCGGAACGTCAATACCACAACTATCTGCTTCTCGGAAGCTTTTCGTGAACGCGAGTTTAGAGCACAAAACAGTGTTTTCTCTGGTACATAGCGGTTTTCCCAAGCTTGATAAATACTCTAATTTCGTCTACGCAACATTCCATTGGGAACCTGCTACTATGTTGTGAATGCCTCGATGATAAACGCTCGAAGATATTTAGGGATAAGGATTCACATCTACAAATTAATACTGCCCCTACTATGGTTTTGCACACACGGCACGACAAGTGGCGCGCGTCGACAAGCGTTTCTCAGCAATCATACTTGACGTCTGACCTGAACACTTGGACACTCAATAAAAGCTTCATACGACTCATAGGATGTTATGAGTTAGACACAAAGCAATGGTTAAGTGAATGTAAAGCAGGCCCAGCTCGACTGTGGATCATATCATTCCATGACAATTGTTGTTCTAAGCATTCGGTCCAGCGGTCGGGGCGTTCTTCTTTATACAAGCTTGTAGCAGCACTTCACACTTCGCAAGAGCGGAGCGCATACCAAATTGTACGGCAGAATTATTTAGTTCTATTCAGGTGCTTTGTATTTTTGGAGGATGTGAACTAAGGACAATCACAAGAACCAATCACATGAATCAATGCCAATGCGCTCCATTACACTGGCATTCTGCTTACGTCCTAAATTTTCCGCGGTATGGTCATCAGATCATTCACCAGGGCTTCAAAGTGCAAGGAACAGACCATTCGAACCGGGTGCTTGTCGCGTTGGGGAGATGAAATTCCACGCTGGGTTTCCGTTACTTACAATAGGGTGGTGTTGATTTTTTCTGCTCGAGAGGTTGCAATCAACGAGGCCCACTGAACAGATTCTTAAAGATGATTTCGGGAGTGTGCGGGTGGGATGGCTCAGTGGTTAGAGCACGAGCTTACTGACAGGATGACCCATGGTCTGAACCCGACCACGGCATCTCGACTTTCCCCGTCCAGGCTTGGGCAACCTGGCAGTAAGGATGACCCACTGAACCCGACCACGGCATCTCGACTTTCCCCGTCCAGGCTTGGGCAACCTGGCAGTATCCCAGCCCTCGTGCTTTCTTCCTTCGGCATGGCAGCTAGACACCGAGTGTTACAACTGAACGATAGTTTTTACGCACGACACAGTGATATGCCTTTTTGACGCCACAAGTGACGCAAATTGGCAAACAAGATTCAGGCCTTTGGAATTCGTGCACTGACTTCATCAGACACACATTCGTCTGAGTTAATACAATTACAGAGGTATATGGAATCCTCCACAGCCTCCAGTGATTCTCCTTGAATTGTAAGGCGTCAGAAGCATGCCTTTGCACTTTGAAGGTGAACGGCGCAAGCCAAAAGATGGTATGATAGTGGTCAGTCTATTCAACAAAGCTTGTGCTTTGCCCAAGTCTCCATATATGAAGACGATATCGTCTGTTTACTTCAGATCGACAACGTTCTCACCAACAACAATTTGAACACAGGGTTTTCGAAGACCTTCCAGCGTTCACCCTGTTATTTCCTCAAAGGCGAAGAGAGTGGACATCCTTTTCGGACATCACTTTTTGTAGGGAAGGCTTCGGAGAACACTCTCACGCCCAGAAGTATGTGAATATCGGGACAGCACTGTGTTCACACACCTGTCCACATACCCTGCTAAGCGTCGGGCAGAGCTGTGGTTGCGGTTAGGGGAAATCTGTCACTGAGCGTCCAGCAAAGCTGATGGGATGCGAAGTGATAACCGAGCACGCACAATGGTATGATTGGAGTCAAGTTGTATACTTCAGGAAGAACGATAGCCTTTAATTGAGGCTCTCCGCCGTTAACTACTAGCCATATGACCACAATGAATCCATTACTGGCTTGATATTTAGGGATAAGGATTCACATCTACAAATTAATACTGCCCCTACTATGGTTTTGCACACACGGCACGACAAGTGGCGCGCGTCGACAAGCGTTTCTCAGCAATCATACTTGACGTCTGACCTGAACACTTGGACACTCAATAAAAGCTTCATACGACTCATAGGATGTTATGAGTTAGACACAAAGCAATGGTTAAGTGAATGTAAAGCAGGCCCAGCTCGACTGTGGATCATATCATTCCATGACAATTGTTGTTCTAAGCATTCGGTCCAGCGGTCGGGGCGTTCTTCTTTATACAAGCTTGTAGCAGCACTTCACACTTCGCAAGAGCGGAGCGCATACCAAATTGTACGGCAGAATTATTTAGTTCTATTCAGGTGCTTTGTATTTTTGGAGGATGTGAACTAAGGACAATCACAAGAACCAATCACATGAATCAATGCCAATGCGCTCCATTACACTGGCATTCTGCTTACGTCCTAAATTTTCCGCGGTATGGTCATCAGATCATTCACCAGGGCTTCAAAGTGCAAGGAACAGACCATTCGAACCGGGTGCTTGTCGCGTTGGGGAGATGAAATTCCACGCTGGGTTTCCGTTACTTACAATAGGGTGGTGTTGATTTTTTCTGCTCGAGAGGTTGCAATCAACGAGGCCCACTGAACAGATTCTTAAAGATGATTTCGGGAGTGTGCGGGTGGGATGGCTCAGTGGTTAGAGCACGAGCTTACTGACAGGATGACCCATGGTCTGAACCCGACCACGGCATCTCGACTTTCCCCGTCCAGGCTTGGGCAACCTGGCAGTATCCCAGCCCTCGTGCTTTCTTCTGGTGGCATGGCAGCTAGACACCGAGTGTTACAACTGAACGATAGTTTTTACGCACGACACAGTGATATGCCTTTTTGACGCCACAAGTGACGCAAATTGGCAAACAAGATTCAGGCCTTTGGAATTCGTGCACTGACTTCATCAGACACACATTCGTCTGAGTTAATACAATTACAGAGGTATATGGAATCCTCCACAGCCTC